AATCCACACCAATGAACCACGTTCTCTTTAATTTAGACTTAGTGTCGCGAATATCCGAGTTTGGACTTGTTTTGTATTAGTCTTGTTCTTATCGAAAGGCAAGTTACCAGCGCAGTCACTGATACCTAGCCTGTGTATTAATAACTTAATACTTCTCACTTTTTAGTCTTTCTTTCGTTCACCTAAGTCCTTAATAAAAAAAATACCCCTCCGGATTGGCACAAATAGGACCCTTCCGGATTTGTCAGAATCTAGACCCCTCCGGATTTGGACCCCTCCGAGTTGGTTAATACTAGACCCCTCCGGATTTGGACCCCTCCGAATTAGCTCAAATAAGACCCCTCCGGATTCGGATCCCTCTTGAAAAAACTTCGACCCCTCCGGATTGGGAGCCCTCCGATTTTGTAAAAGTAGCTTTTAGGAGATTTCCTTTTTTCAACCTATACCCCTCCGAATACGTTCTCCGATGCAATTATGCTGTTTTAATTAACTGGGAAGGGTATAGGGTCCTTTCCTAGACCCCTCCGGATTGAAGTTAAGCCTCTTATTTGACAATTCACACTAACGGTGAAGGGTCTTGTCGCTGGCCTAACTTTGGCTCGGTTAAGCTTTTGCGGTGACTTTAGCCCTCCCTCTACGTCTAGAATGGCCTAAAGTTACTTTACTCAACCGCTATTACCTTTTGGTAAGGGTATAAGGGCTTTTCAGAAAAATTTGTAAAACGTGAAGGGTGTACCCCTCCGGATTTGTGTAATTTGCTAAAAACAATCTCAAAAAATTTTCTCTCTCGCTTTTCCGAAAAATTTCTGATCCTGTTAGTAAGCTCAGCTAATTTCTGATCTGTTGGTACCAAGATCAACTCGATATGATCAGTAGTTCCAAAGTTATTAACCAAAACGTCTTTTTTTTGAACTCAAAAAATTTTCTCTCTTATAGGTTCCGCCTAACTTTTTCCGCAAATCTGGTCCTTTCGACCTAAAAATTATTGATCCGAGCTCAGAAGGCCTATACTCTTCTAGTTCAATGCAAAAGACCCGATCTAAAACGCTATTGTAGAAAAATTTTGCGAAAAACTATGCTACCTGGACCCCTCCGGATTGATGAATCCACCAAATCAAACACGTTATGTTCGATTTCTCTGCAACCCGGAAGGCTTTCGGGTAGCGGATTTTAAGACTTGTAGATTCACTAGTGGACGTTGTCCGAACAACTATTTTTACTGTCCTACCTCAAAAATTTCAAAAAATTTTCTAAATTTTTAGTGTTTCTTACTATCAAAATTTGGGAAAATTTGGTTTTTTGTACCAAACTAGTTTTAACCACTTCCGAACTAAAGTTAACCGGTTCTGCTTATTACAGTAGTGCAGTTACGATGTAACACACTAACTTAGCGCTTTTTTCCGTTTCAAAAAATATCGATATCTCAAAAATCGCGACTTGTGGGGGGATCAAAATATCGCAATTTTGACCCTAAAAACCGGTCAGTTCTCGTTGTTTTTGTCTGAAAATCGATATAAGACTATTAATATAGGCTATATAAGTAATAATATTAGGAATACTATACCCCTCCGGGTTTGTTTAATCTCCGAATTAAGGTGCTTAACTCGGATATTCGCAGTTCGGTGAAGGGTCACTACAGTGCAGCACTGTCGAGCCCCCCACAGATTACTATCTTACTTTTTGTACCAAAAGGGATACAAAACTTGTTAACGATACCCAACAGTCGATTGTAGTTGTCGTTGAGCCTCTTCCTGTTGTTCCCTGTACTGCTTGCCGGATCGGTCTTCACCCCGGACCCTTCCGAATTGAGCGCAAATCAGCTGACCCTTCCGGATTGGGCGCAATTTATCATTAACGTGCTTAAATGCTCAAATAACCCTACAGTACAAGCCCCACAAACGGGCTACAAAAATGATCTTAACGATCCTGACTGATATAAATGCCTGTAACAACAATATATCTATCAACAACAAACGGGGGGGTTGAATCACATCTTGTCTGGGGGGATGATTTCTACTGATTTTTTACTTTTTTACTGTTTTTGGTTTTTTCGGTTATTTTTTATGTTTTTTGTTTTTCTTGGATACTATACTATTTTTTGTTTGGTTTTGCTTATATCTTTAAGTGTTTTTGGTCACAAACCACTCAGGGGATGAGGGGTTCGCGATTCCCCCCACCCTTCCTGGTTCGTGAATTTTCGGTCTTAACTAGGTTAAAAAACTATTCACGGCAATCCGGAAGGCCTCCGCGTTCCGAACTACCCTTCCGCCCCGGCGGTTTAGGCCTAATAAGGGCGTTAATGTGAGCATCCGCTCGGCGCGGAGTGCTCGTTAACGGTTCTGCCGATCATGATGTTAAAAAAGAATAACACCCAGGAGCGCCATAAAAACATACATGTAACATTCGCCCGGAAGATACATATCAACGGATAACAAAACTAAGTCTTAAGACGACTGGCTAGCGTCTAAACAGAGCTTTGCATGTTTTTCACCGTCTCTACCAAGCCAGTACTTTTCGGTGGTCTTTCTTACATCAGGCTGACAAAAACGTTACTGTTCTCCGGCTTCGACCAGAACGCTCAAATTAACTAGATTACATGCAAAAATAGTGAGCTCATGGCTGGGTCTCAGTATCCCCAGACCACGAGGTCACTCCTAAAAACAGGGCTACTACTTATTATATTACTATTGTTTTTGTTCAGTAGATAAAAATCATCATCTCCATCGAAGATGGATCAACCCTTTCCCCCCTACTTCTAGCTCCTCATTCTTGTCAAAACGAATTAAGATCTTAATTAAATTCAAGTCAGGACATGACGGATACTAAAATTCAATATAAGTTCATAAAAGTCCACGTCCCGAGACCCTTCCGGATTCTTGAATCCGGTGAATCAAGCTTCTTAATATCCAGTTCACAATAACTCGGAAGGCTGGGTTTTACCCTTCACCGTTGCTCGCAACGGCCTTGCAACTATTGTAACAGCACAATAGTTGCAACTCGGAACGTCCTCTGCTGTTCGGTAGTTCGTTGTAGTTTTTTAGTCTCGATTTCGTACTGTTCGTAATCGCAGATAAAGTTGTTCTGTTTTTTCTTGCTCTTTTAGCTAAAAATGGCCGTTTCTGACGTTTCTCAGAAATATGACGTCATAATTCGAATTTTTAAAAATTAGAATTCCAGAATCTTCTAGCCTTCACCGTTTGGCTAATCGTTCAAATAACGTTCTTACCCGTTCTAAATCGCCAATTCGGAAGGCTTGCTGCTAAAATACCGAATTCTGCAGAGACTGCATTTTGGCCATTCTGGTCGAATGTCACAAGAAGAGAAGGAGAAAAAACTTGATTGTCTTTGTGTACTAAAACTTGAACCAATCAACCAAGTTTTGATTATTGAACTTATTAAACTTTTTGTTTTGATTTAGTTTGGTCAAACCAAACTTTGAAAATTGTTACAATTGTTAAATTGTTGAAAAAATAATTTTAGTTATGACTATTTATGTATGTAAATAGAGAGCATAGGTGAGTATATTTACCTATTTTAACACGATTGAAGTTTTTAACCTGTGTAAGACACATTTTCACTGTGTGGCGACATGGTAAGATTGAGTAAACTCGCTCGAGAAGGGTGGGTAACTCAATAACTTTCCTATAATAACTTTGCCACAGAGTTTTGTAGTTTTAATATTAAAAGGACCGCATAAATAACTGATTATACTTGGTGAGTGACGTTAAGTTAATTTTTTAATCACAAAGAGCGAAAAGAAATTTTATGGCAAGACGACGTAAGTAGTCATAAAAGAAATTTTATCTAGGACACTCCTCATGGTGCAAATTTTGAAAGGCAGTGAGATGTAGTACGATGCCATTTGTGAACACGCAGTGAGTTGAGGTGGGGTAGATAAATTTCATTTTCTTATGCGATTTGTAAGATTGATTACAGAAAACTGGATAACTACTTGACGATAACCCGGTGTTATGCGATCAATGGGGACATTGATGGGGACTGTCTGGGGAGTATGTGCCATTCTGCCAGGTTGGCACAGCGCAACCTTCCGACGAAGCACGAATCAGAGAGAAAAGGCCTTAACAGCAAAAAAGTGCTTGAAAGGAGGGTCGAAGTATTCTGGAGTTTTCTATTTTTAAAATTTCGATTTTCAAGTTGATATTTCTCAGAAATACGAAAAACGGCCATTTTGACAAAACAAAAGCTGAAAAAATCAGAACAACAACACATATTGTGAAAAACAGTCGTGCAAGAGACGGAGAATACGAAGCCTCTTATCGTGGCAGCAACGCACGATAAGACCCTTATCAGCGGATATTAGTGGAGAAGGAAGCTTCGGTGGGGAAGGAATATTCCACGGAATCCTCCCGGGACGCTAATTAGAAGAGATAAGAGCGTTATCGCAGGAATATTACGGGAGCGGAGGCTTGGTCCCCCAGAGACTGTTTTATGTGAAAGGACTGTATAAAACTGACTATATAGCTACTTGGATGTCGTGAAACTTTAAATTAACACCGGTGTAACTTGATATTTTAGAATATGAGTAGCTAGAAAGAGGAAAGGGTCAATCCATCTCCAATGGATTTAATATAGAACTGTCACACAAAAACATATTAAAATAGGTTGTTCGAGCCGTGTTTTTAATGACAATCACGTAGTCTGAGGATCCGAGACTCAGCTATGTGGTTGTGTTCGCATGCAAACGAAAGCTGATCAAAAGTCGTTTGACTGATGGCCTAAAAATGGTAACTTTTTACTTTGCCCTAAACTGACCAGAAAATCAACTGGCAAGGTCGATACGGTGAAAAACGAGTAGGATTAAGGTAACTGACGCCTACCAGTCGTTAATAGGTACTTTTTCTACGCTCCGTCGCTGTGTAGTATTTGGGCGAATGTTACACAATCACTCAGTTTGTAGTGTTCCGTCTTTGCCCAATTCCTACTTAGTTGATCTTTTAATTTGTTGACATGAAAACTTTTGGTTATAGCTGAGTTGGGCATTCATGTCAATTAGTACTCCTTAAGAAACATGTTCTTTTTTCTTCGTTTGCTTTAAGAAGGATACAATAACAAATGCTAATTTTAAGATTGTTTGATTGATTGGTTTTTTTGCCAAATCAACAATGACGTCGATTGTTTTGAATTCAGTACCTCTTTCTTTTTTGTTCCCGGACCAAGACACCCAAGACGAAGAAAGAATGGACTTTTTGTTTGCAATGTTTCCACTTGACCCAAACTTGAACAACGAACAGTACTCCAATAAACTAGAAATTTGGAGGAAAGCTGTAAAGAATTACTGCAAAGCTGTGAATACTTCATTTATAACCTTTAACTCAGTAGCGGGAGTTAAATTCAATGGAAAAACGTCTCTGGCTCTGGGAACTTGTTGGGAAGAAATGATCAGCTCCAAGAAATTGATTAAAAAGAGAGAGTTCAAAAGTAAGTTATTTTTTGACCTGGGGAACCTTATTTAACACCATCGACTCTCTGGAAACTCATTGTGAATAGTTAGTCTGGAAATTTCGCAACCAAATTGTTAGTTTTAATTTAGATTATCTCCAGCAGTCATGGTCATCATGGGCCGTACACAAAGCAGTTTTTCCTATTAAGTGGGCTGGAAACTCTCTTCTGTTTTTGTCGAGCGGCTCTAAAGATGCTTGGAAGAATGAAAGTTACATCCATCTGGAGACATTTGATGAAAAATGTGATTCTACAGTAGCAATTTTGCAAAAGAAGTTGAATCTAAACGGACCATCATCGGAATCTTTGCTGATTTCATACTATGATGTCGCAGAACTTTGCATTGATCTGTTTCCCACGGAAGAAGAGTTCGAATTGTGTTTGCAATATTTGCAGAAAAAGAAGTTGATTTGTGTTCATGTGATGGAAGATAACACGAAGATTGTCAAATTTAGTCCTCGACGAAGTGCCTGGAGTTGGAGTGCTCCCGTAGTTTCTAAGGAGGAGATCACAAAAATTGAACTTGAAAAGTCTCTGAAAGTAAGCAGGAGTTTTTCCGTTTCTTAATTAAATGTCTGAGTGTAGTGTAAACCTTAAATATACTACGCAATCAAGAAACGTATCATAATCAAATGAGGCAATTATCTTCTGCAAGTAATAAAATTTAGAAAAATTGTGAGAACTGACATATGAAAGGCGTTGGATGCTATATTAAACTATAATTTAGAAAATAACATAAAATCTGGTTTAGATTGTCCAAGACGAAATTTCACGGCTAAATGAAAGACTGGCAACCGTCGTTAAAGATGCGATTGAACATGGCAAAGCCGGATCAAAGAAAAAAGCCTTTAGATGCATCAAGCTGAAACATCTTATTGAAAAGAACCTGGACACTAAATTGGCAATGGAGTCCAACATTGAAAGCATTTTGAGTCAGTTCGAAGATCAGAAATCTTTAAGCTTGGTGATAGATTCCATGAAGAGCTCTGCTGAGATGATCAAGAAGTCGCAAATATCAATTTCGGACGTTGACAAAACGATGGATGAAATCGAAGACGTTATTTCACATGATCAGACAATTCAAGATGCCATGTCTTCTATCAACCAGAAGTTCATGGAAAGCACTGGAATTTTTGATGAGGACCTAGAGAAAGAATTAGAGGAATTGGCAGCCATGGATGATTCTAAGCCAATGCCAAGAACAGTGCCGAACGGATCGCCGCAGCGAAGTCCATCGAAGTCTCCACCGAAAAGGTCTTTCTCTTCAATGTCTGGAAGCGATGAAATGTCACAGGCTACTGCGACCACGCCCTCTCAAGCCGAAATGGACTCCGTTTTTAACGATAGTCAAAGTTCGCTGTCACCAAGAAGCAAATTGAGACGAGCAACAGAACCTAGAATGGCTCTTGTTGCGTGAACAGTCGAAGGTCGATAGTTTGCCGTGGAAGTGGAGAATTTGTTTTCGTTGTTCAGCAATGTTTTACTTTCTTGTTAGGTTTTAAGATGAGAGAATAAGTACAGCTTTCTGGCTACTGCTAAAATGAACCAGATGTTTTGAATTTAGTTTAAATTGAATTTTTTGAGAACAGATTTTGCCATAGTTTCAATCTCGCAACGAGTTCATAAATGATGGTATATTTTGATTTCTGTTAAAACAAGATTAATTCACAGCTTCACTTAGTAAATGGGAGGATTTTAAGAACAATAAGGCTCGTAAAATTGTTGAAACGGACAAGAATGCCGACTTTTCTAATCGATTTGAAAACAACTGCGTCGCCAAAGCGAAATATATTTGCGCTCTCCTTCAAGACAAGATCACCAGATTCATGTGATTTTTTTCAGCGCTATGTTTGGCCCGAAACCGTCTCCGAGCATGCATAGTTTGGAACAAATTTATCGTACGTCTTAATTTTTTGAATTATTTCTACCCTTAAAATTGCAAACGGATTGCATTTGAACTGTCAAAAGAGCAAACCGAAATTTTCAGAGCACAGGTTTTAACTTCAAGCCCTTAACTTCTAAGCAATTTTCATTCAGCAGCAATCTGACTTGACAATTTTTGAATAGAAAATAACACCTTAAACGCCAGCAAAAGGGCAAACTTGAAAATTCAAAGAACTATATCTATTTAGTTTCAATTTGACCGTCAGAATTATTTCTTAAATTAAAAGGTTATCCGATAAATTTGTCGTTATTTATAGTTTAACTTTAGTTTGTCTGCTTGTATTTAGTCGGCTTAATTGCCAAATTGGAGAATTATCTGGAGCTGTCACCAATTTTTTATCGTAGATGCAAGTTTTTTTGATTCACTCTTTTAATTTGTAAAATTGTTTTCCTTTTTTTTTTCGTTTAAAAACTTCATTCGGCAGAGATGGTTTCAGATTGTTTTATCAGCTTAGTTACTTTTTTGTCGATTTAAAGGCAAAATTGATTGATGTATTTTCCTGAAAATTTCAGGTAGTTAGTTCCTCAAGAATTCAAAACTTAGTTCTTCCGATTTTTTTTCCTCACAATAATTTCTTATTACCCTTGCGTCACGCAAGGGTATTGCAATCGGGCACAAGACTTCTTTTTCTCCGTAAGTAACTTTGTTGACAGAATGTTCAAAATTAGAAATGGTAAAAATAGGTGCAGCTCATATTGAATTCAAATTTCTTCTTTGCGTCTCCCTCACAATTGGCCTGGAGATAACGAATATGACTGGGACGGCAATGGTCCTGGGTTCGAAACTGACAGGACATTGTTTTTTCAAACGGCTTATTGTTGGCTTATTATTTGTCTGCATATATTTTGCCGGCTTAGTTGCCACATCGTATAATTGTGTTTTTTTTTGTTGTACGCTTTTCACATTGTAGTTGCTTTTAGTGTTTTGATTTACTTCTGCTGTTTTTACTTTCTTCTATTCTATTTTTTTTGCGTAAATTCTTTTTCGGCCCAAATGATTTCGGCTGATTGTTTATCGGCATAGTGACCGAATTTTGAGTCGTTACGAGGTAAACATAATTTTTTGATCATTGGATCGCACATATTGCTAAAATCTGGATAGAAATTTTAGCTCAAGTTTTTCATGCCAACATATTTTAATGGCCGAAAGTTTTTTGGTGCGTGTGTGTGCTTGTAGGCGGAGGGGATCTGTTAATTTTTTAGGAGTCTTCTCTTGTTGTTTTTTCCGTCTTAAGGGGTCTCTGCTAAGATATTATCAGCTTTCTTACCGCTTTTTAGTTTTTCCGATTCGAATTTCGTATTCTTTTGTCTTGGTTGGTTTTTGTTTCAAAACTAGCCTGATTGTTTTTGATAGATCTAGTTTTTTGACATAATTGATTTTTTTTTCTGAATTAGCTGCCCTATGGTTTTGTATCGCAAGTAGTGCGAATGGCAGCTTCGCGTCTGTGACATTTGTCTGTTTTCGGCTTAATTGGCGTCTACCCACGTGTTGCTGGCTTATTGGCCGCGCGGTAAATAATGAAAGCTGTTTTAATACTGGAGATAGTGTTTTTCGAATGTTTTCTCAAAATTATTTTCAATTTTCCCATTTTTTTCGATTCAGTTTTTTTTCTGTCTCATTTTCTATTAGTTAGCTTGAAATGCTGCGCTAGCGTTGTATCACAAGTGATAAAAATTGAAATCAAGTCCCTCTTTTTTATTATTAGACCCGAAATTTTTATAATTTTCTATTTCATCAGATAGTTATATGCGCACAGAGAATTGCGCACAGAATTGTTTCATTTTAACCTTTTGTGTCTGGGGCTTTGACTTATCTTATCTTTGAATCCTTTAGATTTGGCGAATTTTTACTCATACTTTGAATTTTAAAAGTATTGAATAGTTTACGTAGTTTAAGAGTTTTGTTGTAAGGTAAACCGATAAGCCTTATAAGGCAACCTCTGAAATCTTTGTTTTCTCCGAATTAAGCGAGTTTTTGAAAAAATTGGAAATATAACATATATTTTTTCATTTTGCGTTTGAAGTTTTTTGGTCAGCAGATTTTTGACTGACAACATAAACACCAAAATACTTGCAAATGTGCATACCTTAAGTTCTATTGTCCGCTCTTGGAGTCAAGACCAGACCATGTTTCTTTTAGATAAGTATGAAAATCGAAATTGTTTTCGTTTTAAGGAAAACCAGAATTGTGAGTTGATCGTCTGTCTGCTTATTTTCAAGGATTGATAGTTCTTTCCGATCACTGCAGTTTTCTTTTTAGTTCCAGATCGTCTTATAAGTTTGCTATGTCTTATTTTGAATAATCTATTGTCTATTATATATTTAAATGCGGGCTTCACTATCTCGCCATGTTTAAGCTTTTTCAACGTATTATTTTTGCATGTTTAGGCTTTATCGTATATTGCAATGGTTAAGAACTTTTTTTTCGATTTTCCAATTTGATTCAAGTGCTTATTTTTACCGAGTTTAAATTAAGCAGCCCAATATCGAATTAGGGGTTGCGAATTTGACCTCCAATTTTGAATGCCCAAATCATTTTAGTTAACGAGATAAGACGATTTTTGAGATTTTTTCAAAAATTTTCAGAAATTTCAAATAACAAAATAATTTACAAAACTTGAAGTTCACAACCCTGTAGTTGGGTGCTATCGGAGTACTCTAACGAGTTAAAAATCTTGCCTCCAAATATAACTGTTCAAATCCTTGTAGTTTTCGAGATATGACGTTTTTTGTGATTTTTTCAAAATTTTTCAGAAAACTTGAATTAATTTTTTTCTTTAAAAATCTGAAATTTCCAACCCTGTAGTTACGTCTTGTCAGAGTACTCTCAAAGATTGCCAATCTTGCCTCTAAGTATGACTGCTCAATTCTTTGTAGTTTTCGAGATAGACGTTTTTTTGCTATTTTTTCAAAAATTTTCAGAAAACTTGAATTAATTTTTTTCTTTAAAAATCTGAAATTTCCAACCCTGTAGTTACGTCCTGTCAGAGTACTCTCAAAGATTGCCAATCTTGCCTCTAAGTATGACTGCTCAATTCTTTGTAGTTTTCGAGATATGACGTTTTTTGTGATTCTTTTAAAAATTTTCAGAAAACTTAAATTATTATTCTTTAAAAATCTGAAATTCCCAACCCTGTAGCTAGGTCCTGTCAAAGTACTCTCGAGGATTGCGAATCGTGCCTCCAATTATCACTGCTCAATTTTTTGTAGTTTTCGAAATGTGACGTTTTTTGTGATTTTTTCAAAATTTTCAGAAAGTTTTAATTAATTATTTTTCAAAATTTGAATTTCTCAACTCTATAGTTCGGTGTTGTCAGAGTACTCTAAAGAGTTGCAAATCTTGCTACATGCGACTGCTAAACGCGACTGCTCAAATCCTTTTAGTTTCCAAGATAAGACGTTTTTTTCAATTTTTTTTAGGGAAACTTAGGTTTAAAAAATTCACAAAATTTTGGATTCCTAACCCTATAGTAGGGTGCTCTCAGGGACTCTCAGTGGTTGCAAATCTGGGTTTCAAATTTCTCCAGAGGCCCATTAAGTTTTTGAGATGACGCTTTTAAAATGGGAATTAAAAAAAAAACAAAAAGTTCGAAATTACCAACCCTGTAATTGGGTGCAGTCAGAGTACACTAAAAGTTTGCAGATGTTGTTTCCAATATATGCGGTTTTTCATGAGTTGTCGAAAAATTTCGAAGCACCGAAGGTGCGTTAATTGCTAGTTTCCCTTTATTATTTCAATTATTTGCCTAAATAGCAATGTCTGTCTGGTAACGTGATATCTGTCTAGTAAGCTGAAACTGTCTAAGCAACTCTAGATTTGGTAATCTTTTTAAATACACACTGACCTTGAACTGTAACAAAATTTGCTGTGATCAGAAAGAACTACCATTTGTTAAGTAAGACAACAAAAAATGAGCAGGGCGATTATCAAATAATTCAGGTTTTCCGTACAATTAAAAAAATTTCGAATCGAAAAGAGTTACCAGCCGTGGCTCTAACAGCAGACAATAGAACCCAGGGTACCCGATTTACTACTAGATCAAGTGGAAAGGGACATGGAAGGTATTGAGTTTCCTAATACAAATGCAAACTAAACTTTTTCTCACAATTTGTAAAAATTGTTTAACAGTTTGTTTGCTTTTGTAAAATTCAGGGATGGTTAGTTAGGCTTCTGGTTTCAAAGTTTTATGGTTTTTGTCAATAATCTTGTTTTGGAACAACTGGATTCTACCCAATGTTTGACGGCTTAGTTGTAAAAAGGATCATTTCCAGTCCGTGAGACTTAATAAAGTAAATATAGCCGTAATGGATGTTCAAATTAACTGCTGACAATGACTTCCGTGCACAAAAACACCGTGCGTGAAATTTTTTGTTGCCTTTATATATAGTAAAACATGTGTGCAAATATCATTTTGCGTGAAAGTGTTGGATTCTCAACACTAAGTCGTCTGGTAATAAATTGTTTACCCCTAGAAGAGGATATTATGAGATCACTTATGCAGTGTGCGAAGTTTTCTAGTTGTTGCCTGTGTTTGCGAAGCGCAGCGTCGCCTCTGTGGACATCGATGTAATTGTAATTTGATAAGCTGAAAGCTCGTGTTCGTGTTATATTCCGAGTTGAAAACTTCCAACGTAACCACCT